TTATTGATGTGAGATATGTATATTTGAATTTATAATAAGTTGAATTTATAGCTGCGTCTCTACCAGCAATCAATTTGCCATTCCTTTCTAACATTGCATTACATTACTACAATATATATGTATGCATATATAGAAATACGTTTAAATTAGTGTATACAATATATTATGTTATTTATGGGCTGCCGCTAAGCCACTGCATTTATTAATTTTTTATAAAATATGTTTTAAATGCAACACATATATCAAGTTAATATGAATCAATACACTTAATAGACGCTTTTATACGAATTAAACAATTGTTTAATTTTTATTAAATTTTTATTCAATTTCTTATTCTAACTAAATAAGTTTAGATATTACTACTCCATGTACATATAGTTTTTTTGTACTAGAATATTTACGTATTTCATTATTATAACCTCAAGCTTGCTGCCTGTTTTTGCACCTTAACTTAGATTTGTTGCTTGCTTAATGAAGTATAGCTGTTTGTTTAGTTTCTGATTGTGTTGTCTAGGCTAAGTTATTGCCTAAATAAGCTGCTCATTCGGAGATTGCATGCAAACCATTTGTAACCAACATTTAAGGCTGCCTTTTAAAATCTGATGAAAAAGGCTTCGCTTTTAATGGCCGAGTTCAAGTAACAGCTTATTTGGGCAATTGTCTCGCCCCTCATTTAAAAGCTATTCTCGACTTGCCAGGCTTTTGGCCCCGTACAAACACAATTCATTTAACGAATGTGCAAAATCTTAATTTAAATCATTATTTCTTATATTCATTTCTTAAACTTAATTGGGCCGTTACAAGAAAAATGACACAGTTTCAAATGCAAATACAATTCACACGATTTGCAATAAGTTTTCCGGGCACCATTTGCAAACAGTTCACACACAGCCAACAGCAAGACACAAGCCAGTGTTGGAAAATGTACAAAGCTGTCGCTAAATTGATACTAGAGCAGAACACGCGCTGAAAAACGCTTTAAAAGGCCACCTTCAAATACACACAAAACTCACACACTCTCAAATGTGTAACACGCCGCTTAATTTATTACATAGACTTGAACTAAAACTTAATCTATATATATTATTTATTTAAGATATACTAGTATTTTCTACTACTTGTACTTTAAGCGTTCTCCAAAGGTTACAGCAAAAGAATAAAAACTCAAGAGACAGTTTGTTTTGTGAAATGTGCAGCGATGAGAACAAGTGGTAACCATTCAACTCTTTGAGAACCAAGATATTAACTACTTTAAAAAAGTTTCTCGACTAAGTACTTATATCCTAAAGAAAAGCTCAACTCATGCATAAAAGTGTTCAGATTTATATAGAGGGTTTAACTTTATAACTTTACTTTACTTTATTATTGATATGACTTGATATGACTACTCTTTGATTTGTTTTGGTTTGTAATCAACAAAAAGTTCGTTAAACGAAAGAAAATGAAATTTTTATAATACGAAAAGCCTACAAATCATCGAGAATGCGATTACTATGCATTTTGTATAGGAGTTTTTTGGTTATGTGCAGGAAATGATCGACTGGATGTCATATCTATCTGTGGTCGCAACGCTTGGCTTTGTTGTATTCTTTGCCGTGGGACCCGGCTCCATACCATGGATGATAACAGCGGAATTGTTCTCCCAAGGCCCACGGCCCAGTGCCATGGCCATTGCTGTGCTGGTCAATTGGATGGCCAATTTTGTGGTCGGGATTGGTTTCCCCAGCATGAAGGTGGGTGCTCCATCATGAATATTGTGAAATTAATTATCATTTCTCTTATTGCTTTCAGACCTCACTTGAGAACTATACATTTTTGCCATTTAGCGTGTTCTTAGCGATATTCTGGATATTCACATACAAAAAGGTTCCTGAGACCAAAAACAAAACCTTTGAGGAAATCTTGGCACTCTTCCGTCACAATAACGGCAGGTAAGTTGTAGATTAGTTATAAAGCATAGGCTTTGCACACAGCTCACCACAATTTGAAAACTAGTTCTGAACAAAAAAAAGGAGACCATCACCCCTCTAACCAGATCAACCACATTTCCACAAAGCTAACCGAAAACTAACCCCAAATGAATCGAAACCCAGCTATTAGCTGAATATATTTTCTTCAATTATGTACTTGGAAGTTAATTATGCGGAGTGCATAATGTTTTTTTTTTTGTTTTGGATCGTATAGCCTGCCAGCTATTCGATGCGGGAGTCAGTTGTTGGTTTTTGAAATTTATCCCTTGTTTATTTTGTTGCACATTGTGTTTTATCGACTGTATTGAAAATAATCCCAACCATGTCCATTCTATGTATGCCCAAATCTGAAGGACATTTCGAGATAGTAGACTGTACGGGTAAGTTGCATGAACTAAGAGAAACTGAAAAAACAAAAAACAAACACAAAAAACAACCAGTAAACAGCTCGATAAACTTCTGATCAAAGCTAAAATCAAACTACAATCCGAAGCGTTTCGCTCTATTTAAACGTAGCTCGTTTGCTGTACTTTATTAGTTCACTCTAAAGCAACTTTATTGTACATTTAATTAATAAAACAAAAAATAAGCAAAAAAAAATCCAATTAAATAAAACAAACTAAATTAAATTCTATGAAAACTTGCGCTCAAAGTTTCATACTTTTTCGGCATGTCTGCTTAACTTTGCCTGTACTCGTTACTTTGTTACAATTACAATACAAAACCAAATACAACAATCAATTACCGGCTGGCTACAGCCGACAAGTACTTAATTAATACAAGTTCATATTTAGCAATTTAAATATAAACTACTCAAATATTTAATATGAATTTAAATACTCTGTACTCTTCTATTTAAATGCCATGTTTCATTATCAAACGTTTTGTAACTCTCTTTCTATTTCTCTCATATCACCTCCACCTACCCTTAAAAACAAAAAACTTTATAAAAAACAAAAAAACCAAAATTCAAATTCAATTTCTAATTCATGCAACGCCCTTACATCTAAACAATCCCCCTCCGAGTCTTTGTTCTCTTGCTCATTGTTCATACCTTATAAATTGGTTAGTTTACAGCACCAACAATTTTCAGTGTTAAGCGAAAACATAAAAAAAAAAAAACTCAAAGCACAACAACAAATTATAGCAAAAACACATGAAAACTCGCTCACAGACACAGCCACATGCGCACACACACACATTCGCTCACATAAACATATAAATTAACAAAACACATTTTGATTATGTTGCTTGTCCATTTAGTGGGGACAGTGTCAACGACAATGGCAACAGTAGCTCCACAGCGGACATTGAGATATCGCAACGTGACTCCAATGCGACGCGAACCAAAGTGCAGTAATGTAGGGCAGCTGCCGGTCGAGTAGTTTGCCTCCCTGTTGCAGTGTCCTTGCAAATTTAATTGCCATTTCAATGTGTGCACAAGGAAACAGTCGCAAGCTCAACAATCGGAAATCACTTTTTTTGCTCAATTTCAACATCGAGTTTCGATGTGAAGTTGATCGAAAAAGTTTGATTTCGACAGCACTTGCGATTTACTATTGTTTATTTTTAATTTATTTTATGTATTTATCATTTAGTTACTTTTCATATTGTTTATCTTATATTCATTGTTTAACTTAATAAATATTGTTCGATTATTTTTAGTTTTTTAAGTTGTTTAAATATGTTTTGTTTTTTTGGTATTTTCTTTATATTGTAGCCTCGCTTAATAACTTCCAAGCCAGTTTAACTTATGATCTAAGATCTTTCAGCCAAGGTAAACTTACACACATTAAGAAAAATATCTATACACTTTTCTGACATACCAGACTGATGTAGGCATCGACCCTTTTCTGATTGCCCTACCCTTTTTGTAGGCGTAAGCGTTTTAGTGTTATGCCCAAAGTCTCGAAATTGCTGTCATTAGTTTGCAAAATTAAATTTAAAATACGTTTACACTTAAAACATAATCGTAGAGTGTGCGAATTTCAGGAGTATGCTAAACTGCACAAATAGCTTGGAGCCACAAAGTATGAATTCTGGCATCGAGCATGCCGCATTGATGGTATCTGAGGAGAAGACCCAACATGACTCACGTAAGAATTTAAAAAAGAATTAAAAACTGCAAGCAAAATTCCAACTTACGTTCTTAATTTCAAACTATTATTTGTTGTGCAAATTGTTCGTTCAATCAAATTTTAAAAACAAAAACCAAAAACCCACAAATGAAACCAATACAAATAACCATATTGTACAACAAACACACAACAACACACATCCAACATAGTGACCTCTAGGTAAACAGAACAGACGTTTAGCTTGGCCGAAAAGTACAAACAAAACTAACATATATACTAGTAAAACATACACATACACACATGTATATATACAAGACAAACCAAATACCTTTACACAACATGTTCAACATGTCGCATTATTAATTTTTTTCCATTGTGTATACGAGATGTTTGCCCAATTAGACACACCCACACGCAAAGACATGGTTAAACTATCCAAAATTAACACTAAATTACACATAATCATATATTTTATTTACGTGCAATTAGGCTATCTTTATCTGAATATTTTATTTTCATTTGCTGAACATTTCTTTTACTAACATCCAAACATGTCAAGCTATTATTTATGTTTCTAACTCCTACGTATGCAACCTGGCATGGCATTACATAGTATGCTGTAATATTTATTAGCACACAAAATGATCTAGAGAAATAGTTATTTGCTTTCTTGCATATGTGTATATTATAGAATATAGCTCTCTTAAAATTAAAAGTGATTTGCAATTGTGGATTATAAAATATTTATTCGAACAAATTTTTGTTTGGATCAACAATTGCATCATCATCTTCATTTGTTGCTTTTTAATTTTCTGTACGCTGCTTGGTTTCTTATCTTTGATGTTAGCTGTTTGATCTATAACTATAAAACTAAGTTCTTAAAATGGATATAAATTTAACTATACCATATTCTTTATTTTTAACACATTCATAATTATCTTAACAAATTCAAATTGTGCTGCATTAATTAAAACCCCAAAACATTAAAATCAACGAATCAATTACATTGGCCAATAACAATATGGAAAACAAATCAAATTATCTACTGGGATTTTTACAACACAATAACAACAACAACAACATCAACCAAATACAACTACAACACAAATAATATAACAATAACAACTTCTGTGTGTAACCAATTGAGAAACGTATCGGATAATATTGGCGTCAATCCACAACTAAAACAAAAAAAAATGCTTGAACAAATTAAAAACTATACAAAAATGAATTCTTGCAAAATATATACTAAAGTCTTTGGTACGACTTCGTTCTCGTTGACGGTTGAAGGCATGGGTCCATATCCGTTAAGCGATAGCACCAATCTCTTGGGTCCAACGTCAACTAGTTATGCGGGCGGCGGGGTCGGCGTGGCCGGCTCCACGGCTTGCTATACAAACTACGGTACAAATATACAAACGCCAGTTCCTAATCGTAAATGCTACTACCAAGACTCTGACTATGGGCGAGACGATAGCTTTCGCAGGCACTCGGCGCATGGAAGAATGTCATGTAGGTTAAAAGTAACTACTCCTAAGAGCCTCTAAACCACATTCACTGCCACCACAAAAGCCACCAACTATGGTGGACCCGAGCCACAAAGCATTTACATGAAAATGCCGCGCGTGCCGCTTGGAAGAAAACCATAAACACAATCGCACCAAGCTCGTCAGTAATCTATATAATATCTGCTCGTATCTAAGTCACAATCTGCCTAGGCTAAGCTGCAACGAACTGCGGACGGTTCCTTTTAATGTTGAAAGCCCTAGTTTGTCAACTGCTTTAAAACTATATCATTTTTATTCCTTGGTTTTTTTTATTATAGTACGCAAGTGAAAGCGAACTTGGGAGCAACCTAAAGTAACAAACAGAACGAATTGGCTAAGTAAACAATATCTGAAACAAATCACGTTTGAAATACAAAACACTACACTAAGTGCCAATAATGCGCCTAAAAGTACACTTCAAAATAACAGAACAGTCGAATGCATAAGCCGAATGTATTATTTTCTAAATAGTTTCGTCCAGCTTCATAAGCGTTGCACAGTTTTGGGCGCAAAATGAGTCTTTTGAAGATTCGAAACTTTTCAGAAAATAACTTTGTGAAGTGCTTTGACAATTCAATAAACATCTTTCATTTCATTTACATGAATCATTCAGCTGCTTCAGTTTTTTTAGGCTGCATGAGTTTTTCTTGGAACGTATGCCATTATAAATAAAAAATACCTATGCGCATGTGTATTATTGGCATGTACTCTATTGGATGCACTGTTAGCATTAACCACTTAAACCACTTGCTAAATACAGCCAGAAAACTAATCTAATCAATATAAAAGAATATAAAATCTAAAAAAAAAAAAATTAAGAGTAGCTTTATTGGAGGCTCTATTAATTGGTAAATCATTTTGATTTTTGTTCTTGGCGCCTTTACGCTTCTTGTAGCTGCATCCGAGCGATTTTTAGACGGCGGCCGAAGTACACACCAGGGCCGGAGCGCTGCCTCTGTGCCCCATCACCTTCGTCAGCAAGCACCTGCCTGCCAGAACAGCGGGCCTTGACTGAGGAACGCCTCACCTCCTGAAACTGCCAGTGTACATTCAACGAGTCGCGCTGAGGAGGAGCACCAGCAGCAGCATTCCTCCTCCTCCGCCATCACCTCTGCCGCTGCCGCTGCCGCCGCCACACAGTCCCAGCATCAGCATCAGCCCTGTTACACCACACATGAATATGTGCATTGTAGCTATGAGAAGGATATCGTATGTGATCAAGCGCCGCCGTCATTGAACACCCAACACCAGCATGAGACGCCCCAGCCACAGGAGGCGGTTGCCATACTTTCACATTGCCATCAGACACAGCAGCCATCGCAGCGCAAGCACAGCCACAGTCACAGTCCGCACCATAGTCGCCACACATCACCGCACAGCCATCACTCGCATGTGGGTCACGGTCAGGGTCAGGTTCAGCAGCAACCGCATTCGCAATCGCACTCTCATCACCACCATTATCGCCGTCGACGTCGGCAGCACAGCGTCGCTGCTGTTGGAGGCAGCGGCAGCTTGCCAGGCGCTCATACGCATCACTCCTCCGGCGGTGGCCACAACACTTCCCGACATGTGTGCAGCAGTCGACGTCATCGCTCGGTCACGGATGTATCTTGTAATTCGATCAACGCCTGTCAGGATGCAGCATGTGCTGACCGCGAGGTGCAGGAGATAATGGTCCGCAAGTCCTGCTGCAGTGCATCGAGAACGGAACTGGCTCAGTACTTTGCCGAGGACTTGTACGGCTCATCGTCACGTCGCCCCAGCTCATGTTGTACCAGCTCCGACTACTGCTATCAAACGGACTCCACCAGCTTGTACGGCTCGCGTTCCTCACTGAGCCGCAACAATTCCATCAAGTCCGCATCGGCCGCCATGCGGAAGCACCAGCGACTGCACGCACGCCAGCCCAGCTACACATCCATATCCTTGCGTGGCCTGAATGCCAGCCGGCCAAACAGTCAGCTCGGTTCGTTGACTTCTATATTCGATCGCGCCAAGCAAATTGCCGCCGATAGCAGGCACACTGAGCAGCAGGAACAACGCCAGGCAACTGCTACGCCCTCGCATGGCTCAACATTGGAGCGACACAGTTCGAAGGGCGCGCTCAGCAACGAGCTGCCCGAGTATGCCTGCTCGCCATCGCCCATACGCTGGAGTTTCCTAGCTGACGGTAAGTCTCCCACGGAATTCGAGCTTGAGGGGGCCGTGGGTGGTACAATTGAGGCAGCAGCGGAGGATAAGATGGATGCCTGGAATGTGCCCGAGCCAGAAATGAAGCCATGTCGCAAGCTGACCAGCAACACGGAGAGCAGCAGCAGCTGGAAGAGCACCTTGTACGATGAAGGACCCAGCACCTCAGCGGCGGCACGCAAGCGACGCGGTAGCAGCTATCACTGCGAATTCGAGGAGTCTACTACGGTATTGTTTCATCAGGATCAGGAGGGTGAGGCGTACAACAACTGCTGCAACAACTACATACAGTGCAACACGTATCTGGATCAGGATCTACAAATTACCAGCGAGGATATACATCAGTATCTGTCGAAAGGCAATCCAACAATTGGCGATGTGCTAAACAATTCCAAGAACTACCCATTTCAGCCCAGCAATGCGCTCGAGTTTCAGTACAAGAATAACTTTCAGCAGGGCAACAACAACACAAACAACAACACGAACACCACAAACACTGCCTCCAGCGATGCTGGCGATTGCTTCCAGCGCTACGAGCGCAGCTATCACACTAGCTCCAGCAAAGAAACTAATCTAAATCAGAATGCAAGTGGCAGCCAGGCACCGCCAGAGCCGCTGTCCCCCAGCAACATCAATCTGTCCAGCAGCAGCAACAACATCAACATTGTGTTTGGCAGCAGCAACCAGGAGCGGAACGCCAACGAGGTGAAGTTCATTAATAATCGGGCAAGCGAAAGAGACACCGAGACTTTGGTTAGCTCGGAAGCACATCACGCAGGCTATCTGCCCTATACGTATCCCAGCTACGACTATGCGAACATGTCGGGCAATTCGCACTTCGATAAGCCGCTGGCCATCGATGAGCTGCCCAAGGAGTTTGCTGGCATTCATTTGGATGGTGGTGGCTCTACAACCAGCGAGCATTCATCATCGTTGCACTTTGACTCCTTTGACGCCGCCTCGGAGCACAATTTGTTGTCGCAGCCCATGTCGCCCGCTTCGGCTGCATCGGTATCGGTATCGGTAAATCCTGCTGGCGACGGTTATATGCACCTGCACCACGCCCATTTTGAGCATCAGCCGCATTATCATGGCCAGTACACGCATGCGCATAACCCGCACCCGCATTCGCATTCGCATCCGCACAGCTACGCTCATGCCCATCATAGCACGAACAGCACCAGCAACAGCACGCATCACTATGGCACCCACGATCTGGCCGAGGAGCAGTTCCGGCTGGGCAATGCCCTCAAGAAAGTGCGCAAGCGTGCACGCAAATACACAGACTTCCTGCGCAAGAAGTGAGCTGAGATTCTGAGCCAGACTCCTCCTGATTAGCCTTACTATTCCCATCTTTAGATTCACCATACTTTGGGCGCAAGTATGTGGTCGTCTCGAAGTCGCGGGCGCAGGCGCGGTCGCTGCCACGGCGCTCGCAAAGCTTGGACGAGGATTAGCTGCGGATGATCGACTATCAAAATGCATTTTCAGCGCACACTTTTCAAAAAGCAATAATTAAATAATTTCACACAGAAACAGACACAAAACGCGAAATTAATGAATAACTTAAATTTTTACACTGCCAAATGATAAAGATTAAAATTAGTATTTATTTGTGGTAAGCCAAATTGTAATGTGCGATGGACAGACACAACAGGAGACACATAAAAACCCACACACACACAGACACACACATAAATTCATTCACATGCGGCAGCCAGCTACAATATAACAAAAAGAACAACCACAACAACGACTATTTTAAAAAATACCTAAGCTAACAGTGCGTATACATGATAAGTATGAAAATTTGTATATTCAAGTTAAAATTTAAGAACAGGTTTTGAATTTGCATATTTAAATTACGTATAAAAAAAAACCATCAACAGAAAGGTAAATGGAAATAATACTGCACAACTACCCAAGCATAGTTTTAAAATTAAACAACTTTAAATACACTTATTTATTAGAGATAAGAAATCGAAGCAGCGCTACAAGATTTAGAGTTTCAGCAAATGCAGTAACAGCAAAAAAAAAGCAAAGACAACAAAATATTAACAATTAAACTACGAAAAAAATTATAAACATATGCAAGAAAAAGAAAAACAATAAAAAAAAAATTGTAGCAGACACATAAAAATGCAAAGTTATTGAGCATTCCACTAAATCAGTAAGCTAATCTTAAATATTGAATATAGGAAAGTGATTTTTTTTCTTAATTATTTACTATTTTATATGCGAATTTTTATGGTTGAAGTTAAACAAGTTTCTTCAGGGACTGCTTGCAATTTATGTATAAGCAATATGCCGTTTTGCTCAAAGAAAATACTTTATTTTGAAAATATCTTAGATTCGAAATTTTCATTTTGTTCAAATCAATTAAATACATTTTCATTTGATGACCCCTTTTTAAGAAGAGTTTCCCTGCTTAATTTTAAATTTTGATTTAGCAAATAATTTGATTGCATGGATCCCAACAACTGTCTTCCAATTGTATTTTAGAGGAATTTTCTAGTTTCAATTTCGTTTGATGTATGTACATCAATTACGTACACATATATAATTTTAATAAATTATTAAATCAAACGTACCTTGCGTGACAAAAAAAATATAAATAAAGTATATTATGATAAGCAAAAGACGAACAACTGTAAATATTTGCTGTTAGTTAATCATTAAAAATAATTTACAGATAAATTACATTTAAACAAATATTATTATTTGTAGTTATTAGCTGAAATCATTAAAAATAGGTAAACCGGAATAATAAATATAAATGCACTGCCAAAAAGGTTTTATAAAACAAAAACAACAACAACAAAATAGATTGAACAAATCGAAGATGATGAATATAAGAAAAAAAAAAACAATAACTGCTGTAAATATAAGAATGAATACATATAGAAAATCATAGACATTTTTTAATGGCACATTAATTAACGAGGAGCATGCAATTTGCAGATTTTTTACATTATTTTAAAGAACTAAGTAAAACAATAATGAGTTTAATTAAATTCTTAAAACCAAAAAAAAGCCACGCGGCAGCGATTTTGTAACAAAATCAAAAGACAAAATGTTAACATTGCATAAAATTTAAAATAAACACAAAACAAAACATTAAAAGAAAAAAACACAATAGAAGCGCCAACGACTACGAAACGATGTTAACTGGTTGTGAGTTTGATTTGATAAACAGCTGAGATACTTTCGATTGCGAAAGTATCTGAGATGCATATCACTTGAGCCGAACTAGGTTAATGTTGTGCGCATTATTCTAAATGTAAATAAATACAAAATAAAAACCAACTAAGTTAATTAAAGCCCATACAAGTAAATATACACACGCAATGAATAAACTATGCAATTAAACAAAAATTAGTTAATAAACAAACAAACAAATAAACAATAAATGAAACAAATTAATGATGCATACAATTTTAATGTTCACAAAATACAAAAATTTAACACGCGTAAATAAAAATTAATTTTAAAAAACAAAACAATTTATGATAATCACACGAAGTTGAATGCAAACCAAAACAAAAACAAAACACACAAACAAAAAAAAAAAAAAACTAACTAACAGTGACAATTAGACAAAAGCGTAATACAAAATATGACAGCCGATTGAATTATATAGCAGAATTTATTGATCCATAGACAAGTTAGTCAAATGCGCCAGAATCCGCGTTAAATGTGGTTTGTTTTTTACAATTTTTAAAATTTGTCTTATGATTTAAAAGTGAAAACAGCAAATACAAAAACTAACATCAAATAAACAGTTAAAAACAATATGTTCTAGCATTTGTCATAACAATATATAGTTGTGTACATAACTAGTTAAAATCATGTATTAACAGAACAGTTATCTTAAGTATATGAATACGTATATACATACAAAGGTGAATAATTAGACACAACTACACAGCCACACACATAAACATACGCACACAAAGTATTAGTATGAATATGAGTTTGCGTTAGTTACAAGAAAAAAGGCAATGAAAAATAATAATTAATAATGATATACAATAATAAACTTGAATTAGGTATGTAATTATGAATTTACATTATTTTTAGCAAAACCAAAAATTAAATGAAAGAAAAAAAAACACGATGAAAACTCTAAAAACACTTAAAAGCAAGAAGAAACTTATTGAAATTAAATTGATGAATTAAGTAAAGTAATTGCTCAATTTAGCAAAGAGTATAAATAAAGAATTATACGTTAAGTAATAATTTCAAATTACACACGCCTTTTTATACCCTTATCGAGGGTATTATAATTTTTTAATGATATGTGTTACGCATAAAAAGTGTCTTCTTCTACCGACCCGATATATGATTTAGCTTGTCTGTCTCCATATTTGTTTGTCAGTCCGTCTGTCCGTCCGCCTGTCTGTCTATCCATTTGTCCGTCCGTCCGACTGTTCATCTATCCGTCTGTCCGCCCGTTCGTTTGTCCGTCCATCTGTCCTCTGCCGGTTTCTATGCGAACTGGTCTCTCAGTAATCTATCGTCTATAAATGCAGTACATATGTATGTCGCAAACGGCCGGATCAAACCACCATATCATATTATTGCCATAGCAACTATAGACCAAAAATTAGTCTCTTGTATGGAAATCTTTTTTGTTTATAAAGAAATCTCATATATGTAATTATATGCAAAATCTTATCAACATCTAACTACTATATTAGTTTATTATTATAACAATTAGTTTTTGTATGAAACACCTTTTTGTTTGTCAAAATATCTTGAGCTAGCGTATCATTTATAAATATATGTGCGAAATCTTATTAGCGTCGGACCTCAATATTTACATATGGGCCAAATCGTATTAATATAGTACTATTTTATATAGTACTATACGAAAAATCGTTCGAAAAAAGGAATTTCTGTATAGCCTAATGTTCTCCTCGTCTGACATACTTGCAAACCCTTAAGACAAATGTCTGCAAGGGTATTAGATCCTCGGGATTCCAAAAAAAAAAAAACGCGAATTTTAATCGTTTAAGGTGTATAATAACGTGTATAGGTGTATAGCACAAAAGGACGTTTATCAAGCCCAATACGGCTACGGATACGCTTTAAGGCGCTGCCACATTAGACAAATCGCACGTACCCTTGTTCACTTTGTGAGCTGAGTATAAAAAAAACTTTCAAAGCCAATATGAAAACCAGAAGGATCAGCTAATAACTCTTATAAGAAGTTTTTGCACATATATCGATAAGTGCCTGAATATATCGCCACTCCCATAAGAATGTTCCATGAATATTGCCTGCGGATGGCATTGCGCATGTCCGAAACACGTCAAACTATTCGCGACTGACAGTTCCGGTGAGCCTTTGGTGTATATACCTCAAGTGGGCATGCAAAGGAAAACCTGACCCAAAGATGAAAATTTAAATTATAAATAAAATATGTTGACTGCGTTGCGACGAAAATTTCGCTTAGGAATGCAGCGTACGGTTCTGATTGCAGTGCTGCTGGCGGTTGGCCTTTTCAGCTATGCGTTCCTAAATCTATCCTTCTGCTTCAAGCTTATGTCGCACAGAAGTCTCACGCACATGGTAAGGGAAAAAAATCTCACCATCTTTTTTGACGCACAATTAAAAAACAGACCAACTCCAACAAATTTAGTGCCAAAAGTATGAACACCATGAGTTTAGTGGATCCCTTTGCGAGGAACTGTGCAGCAGCCAGTCGAACTTTGACAACTTCCAGTGCCCGTTGAATGATATGAAAACGATATTGTTTACGGCCGAAAAGAATGGCGATATGCTCGCCGTGAAGGTAGGTCAGTTTGGCATTAGTTTTTCGGTTGTCATGACTACCAACCATTCTAACCCGCTGCTGGCAATTAGCTGGCCAAGCACAACGATGACGACTTGAGCTGGACGAACAGCAAGGGCGAGGCTATTTATCCCAAGATCGAGGAGTTCCATGAAATTGTCAAGTTGCACATCATACTGGCCTACAATGTAACATTGGACGATAATATGGTATGCCTGCAGTTAATTCCCAAAGCTGGTGTTTCAAGAACTTTTCGCCTTGTATTTTAAGATACGCGCCTTGGTCAATCAGGAGATTGCGGATAATAACTCACAGCAAATGGTTAGTTTTTGGAGATTGTTCAAGGACAACAACTATATGATGGGCAAGCTGTTCGATGAGGAATCAGTGTTTCCAGCGGTCCTAGGCTCCTGCGGTCCGTACTATGCCACGGAGGGATTAGAAATTGTGCAGTCCAATCCCAGCATCATTCAGTTTCTGTGAGTAAATAAGGAAATAATGTAGCAAGGCTGACAAACCACATTGTATGCACCTGATAGCGCCTCGAATCGACAGCAGCGGCTGAAGCATGCGCTCAACATCATGGAGTACATATTTCGCTTGGAGGAGATGAAGCCGGAGCCGTTGCGCATGTGTAAGATGCAAGTGAATCGCTTTGGACTCACGCCCGACAGACGTCTCAAGTATCAAAGCGCGGAACATATCTATGTCGAGAGCTACCTGGACAAGCGCATATCCAACGGGGTCAAGTGTCACGTCAATCAGGACTGCAACTTCCATTCCTGTCGAGGACTGTGCGATGCAGACCGTCAGGCCTGCACACATGTGCAGCAGAACAATAACTTTCAGATATTTTGTGAACATGTCCTTTTAGGCAGTGGTACATTTCAGCCGGGTCTCCTAAGTGGCATACGTTTGCCACGGTCGCTGCAGAAGCTGGTGAAGATGTGCGTACAGCCGCCTAAGGAGCATCAGGTGCCAGATCGCCGCCAGGCACCTACTCTGCAGCTGGCTTTGAGGCTTTATAATGAGCTGAAGCAGCTGCTTCAGGCGGTGATAACGGCTTCCGGTGCTGACTCCGATGTGGAAGTCGAAAGCCCACGGCTTCGGCAGCAAGGAGGCGTTTAGGTGTCCTCGATGCACATGTAGTTGAATTGGGTACTCCTGCTGATGACTTGCTCACAAAGTGGTAGAATTTTTACATAAATTAGATTTAATAAGCAAATATAGAATTAACATAAATAAAAAGTTTTTTAATACATGATAAAACGGCTTTGAATTGTAGTTTTGCTTTTGTGTTTATTTTCGTTTATAAATTATTGTTAAATTGCAACAATTTCTTTCTCTATTGTTAAGCTTGCCGATGAATATAATATTTTGTTTTCTGTAACTTATCTCGAATTTACATTGAAAATCAATTGCTCTCGTGAGCGTTAAAACTTGAATTAAAACTTTTCTTTGAAAGTGCCCAAAAGTGTATTCCAAAAAGAGCTACATAAAAGTGTTGATTAGCTTTTATCACATTGACATTTTAAGTATTATCTTTTTATATTTATATTTGTGTTTTGCCTTGTATTTTTGAAAAGTACAGCGTGCACATGTCTTATTGTTAATATATAGTTTAGTTTCCCTTTTTGAATTTTTGCTGGATTCACTAATTCCGTATTTTTTTTTACAATAAGTTAACGTTTCTGCGGCATAACTTGGTTTTATATATTCACGTTTGTTTGTGTTTTATCTTTTTGCATAGGCAACTTTAGTTTTTTTGTTTGTTTAGTTTTCTAAGGATTTATCTGCAACAGAAGTTTATACAAAGGTTGTTAAATTGTTTAACTCTGGCAGATTTTAAACGAAATAATTTCGTTGGTTTTTCTTTTTTGTATTATATTTTCATTTTGTTATATTTTTTAGGCCGCTTAGCATAGTTTATAGATTTTAGCGCTTCTTTAAAGCCATTTCCAATTGTTTATTACAATAATCAAGATGTTTTTGAGTAAATTATAAAAGAGTAGAAAAATCTAATAGATATCATAATTTTTGTTAGTACACGTATTTCGTTTTGCAAAAAGTGCCCTATGCGCTCAAAAATTATTATATTAAATGTTATAGATTTTATTCTTCTTTGTTAATTTAGTTTTCCTTTTTTTTTTTAGTTTTTTTTATGCATTCTCTTATTTAAAGTACATACATTTGTTTTTCAATACAATTTCTAAAAACATAAATGTAGCGTTCGACTTAAATTAAACTCGAAAAGGATGCGGACTGTAGTCAATATAATTGAGAGCGGGTGCTGGGTAAATGATTTAAATATACCGAAAATATTTATCAACTGCCTGTCTAATTGTAAATTTTCAAAATGTCAAAATGTGGGTGAATAGCTGTGTGTTCAAATTGTGTGTGTGTGTGTGTTTGTGTGAGGCGGTGTGTGCTTATAGATGATTATTCTTTCTGCATTTGTCTTTATGCCGTTGTGGGCGAAGCGGCCGCTGAGGGGGCATTTGCCAATATGGGCGGATGCGTGGCATTCACCACACGACCTGGCGTGTGGGCATTCTCCAGCGTCTTCGAGTGTTGCAGCTGCATCAAGTAATGCTGCTGGGTGGGCTTATGCAGCGCCAGCTGTGACAATGCATCATCAATGGTGAACCATTGACGTTTTCGTCCAATGCTACGCGAATCCTCCCACTCATCTAGTTCCTGGGTCACGTTCATTACAAACACCTCGGTGCGATGCATGTGATCGTTGTTCTATAATTTTTGATATTTGTTAGCTTTATAATAACATTGATCTCCAATGATACCTCACCTCAAAAACACCCAAACAACGTCCCAAGCTGCCAACAACGCCTGCCTCCTCCAGCACCTCACGCACGGCGGTGACTGAGGGCTCCTCTTCCGGCTCAACCCCGCCGCCTGGCACAATCCACAATTCTGGACGGCGAGAAGATGTTACCAGCAGCACCTGCAATACATTTAAAGCCATTAATATGGTTATATTTCGTGGATAGAAATTGAATTTCAATCGATCTTTTAGATAGAGTAAACTATCCTTTTGCCTTTTGAATGCCCATCGAAGCACACTAAGATTTCATGTTTTGGGAGACCCAAACTTACCTCCGCTTCGTTCTCGGCTCGCACGCAAATACAGGCAGCACGTCGCCTGAAGCCATCCTTATCATAGATGCGCGTCGAGTTGGGTTTCTCCTTGACCATCTGAAAGCATATTGATACGATAAGTAGGGCGATTGATAGTTCGGCGCAACCGAAAAAATTGGCAAAGGCTGATAGCGTTGGGGTCATAATTCTTTCTATTTTATCATTTCACTGTTGTCGCGTTTAATTTGAATGTGCGCGCACATGAGAATCGTGATTCCGTCTTATCAGACATTTGATTGAGAGACCGCCGGCAACTGCAGCGCCGGCTTATCAACGATTTATATATGTACGCATGTATGCACACTCTTGCATATGTGTGCGTGTGTTTGTGTGTGCCGGGTACCGTTTGGCGTTTGTAAATTAGCCGTGTCATGAATGATGATTGAAACACTTTTGCAAACATCTGGGAGCTTACCTTTGCGTTTTTGTAGGTACGGCGGCAAAATGAACGCTGATAGCCGATTGCTTAGGCACTTAACAAAGAGACAGCCGCTTTGACGTCCCTTTCTCACTAACTCACTAACTCGCTCACTCTCTTTCTCTCCCTCTCCGTTTGTCTTCCTTTTGCTGCGTTTGCAACAAGTGTGTGTGTGCTGCTGTTGTTGTTGGTGCTTTTTTTTTGCGCTATGACAGCTGCACTGGGAGCCGGTCGCTGGTCTCGTGCCGCTTTTGCAGGTGCTTTTTGGTGGCTGCTGCGTCACAGCAGAGAAACTGTCGTTGTATGTGTCGCGTGAGTCTATGTATATTTTAGTCTGAGAGCCAATGTGTGCGTGTGTGTGTGTGTGTTTTGTATGTTGCTGTTGCTGTTTCTGTTGTTCCTGTATTTGTTGTTGTGTAGTAACGAAAAAAGAACTGCGCGTCGGATGGTTTCAAAGAGATGTGGGGAAAGCGAGAACAGAAAACTTGTTGAAATTAAAACGAGTACAAGAATGAAGAGGAAATAAAGCGCAGACAGGGCAGAATTATTTAACTACTTTGCAGTGGGTGCATGTTGTTGTTGTTTTGTGTTTTTTTTTTTTTTTTTGTTTTTTTTGGTTAGTGTTGGTATCAAGTTGGTATTGTAATTGTGTTCGTGTTGATGTTGTTGTTGTTGTCACTTTGTCACCGCCTTTGTCCTGCTATTAGCCGCTGTTTGGCTAGTCGCTGTCGCTGTTTTGTCTGCTTGTGAGTCTAGCCGGAAGCTTTTCGCAATTTGTTGCAATTTGAGCGAGACCGACGCTCAGCTGGGTCTTATCTGAGCACGAAACATGCGTTTTCCATTTTCTCGCTCCAAACACGCCCCGAAATGGTGATGAATAGCCGCTTTGGGCAGACAAACACACGTGTCGCGGCTTGTGCAACGATTTTATTTGCGCGGTGACGATTTCTAGCTGCAAGCCCACGTAAAAGTAACACTTTTAACAATTTCACGAATGTTGCATCGGCGAATAGCTCGGCAAAGAGGACGACGCAAAAAACAGTGTTACCGCCTTTGATAAATTGAAACTGCCACAAAATATGTCTGTTGGCAGCCCCATGCAACAGTTGGCAACTCTAATTTCTGAGGTAGGCAGTATTGAATTCACTGCAAACATAAGCCACCAGATGGCGCCAGTATTGCCGCTAGGTGGAAATTGTATTCAAATTTTATTTTGAAATTCGTAACGCTTTTCAATTTCTTTTTTTAAAAAAGTCTTTCAGTTTCCAAAAATAAAACGTTCCAAACATAAAACGTTGTTTTTTGCATTTCGTTTCAATTTGGTAACGGTATATTCAGAGAAAATCGAAATATATTTTGACTGTGTTAGTGGCTTCAATTGTTCGAATCAATTGTTTTTAAATCAGACTGCGAAATGTTTAGTAAAACTGCGGCCACAGATTTATTTATAAAGAGCGAGAAGTATTACAGGCCCAGATGGTTGCAAGGCAATTTACTCCAAAATCGATCTTAATTTCGTCGATTTCTTCTAACCCATTATTTACTAGAGGTCAGGCATAAAGAGGGCATCGATAATTATCGATTAACGTGCATTAGAATTGCAGCTCATATTTGAATTGAATTAAGATCAGCTTTAAGGTCGTCAACTGGCTGAAAGAAGTCAAGAAATGATTTACTGCCACAACGCAGGACGTTACTTGAGCGTCTGCCAAAAACGCAAAAGTGCCGGCAACGGCAAAGGCAAAGGCAAAGGGAAAAGGGAGCAGGGGTCTGGGAGCAAAAGGCAGGGTATTATGGGCGCGCCACAGCGCCAAAAATTTGCTTTGCATTTGTTGCAGCTGCCGCTTGGCTTGCTGCCTCTGCGTTTTGGTTGTAAGCTTTTAATGCAACTACTTAGCGCAGGAATACTGAATCCGATTGCTGCTCCACAGAAGGAGGCGCAGGGGGGTCTGTGTCCTTGGCTGGCCTTAAACATTTACTGCCAGCCTTTGCGTTCCAGTCGCGAGTCGCGACACACTGGCTGCCTGGCCTGTGTCCTGGTCCTGCGTCTGATCTTGTGGCGCTTTTTGTTCCTGGTGCAAAGCAAATTGCTTATTTCTTAATGCATTGCCATTTCCTTTTGGCTTTCTTAGACATTGCTAGTTCTTATATTTGAGTGTGTGTGTGTGTGTCTGTGTGTGTGTGTGGCTTCAATGAATTATGAGCTTCATTTCTTTTTTTTTTTGGGTGCCGCTCGACGTGACCATGCAGAAGTGTTAAACTGTTTAACACGCGTTTTTCTCGCTCTGTGACTTTCTTGATTGGGTTTAAATTTAGACTGCAAAATAATAACATTTTTTTCGCTAAGGTTTTTTTTTCTTTTAACTCATAAATTAATTCAGTTGTCCTTCGATTGATTTCTGACTATAATAATAGTCGATTTTTTTTTTGGTAGTCTGCTTCTGGCTGAATGGCCTGTGCGAATCTCCCGCCTCAGTGTGTGCCACGCTTTGTTGCACATAAATTCAAAGTCATAAATTTGCAATAGGCGTCCTCTTGGCTGGCAAACTTTGTCTATTTGATACGGCCTCCGGCGACCACATCGGAATCAAGTGCAAAAATTTACAATTTACCAGGGTGCAATTGTGCTGGCGATTGACAACAGGACTGAAAAAATAAAACTATAATCGATTTTAAGGTTTATAAATAGTCCTTCAAGTATTATACTTTTTAACTTTATTCAAAGCAACAACATTTTGTGCCAGTATTGAATACTTTTATTATTTACTTAAATAGGTTTGTTTTTAATTAAAATTAAAATTTATTAGGTTTTAGATCCTAAGCCTGTATCTTTGGGAAAGGGTTGTATATACAATTATATATATTCATATTCAGAAGAACGTGTCCTTCACCGTAACATAAATAATTGCCCTCTTTTGCTGCTGCTTTCCTATTTTAAAAGGTATTTCGTTGATCGTTTTGTATTTATTTATGCTCTATAAATTCTAATTAGAGTATAGTACGTGAAGCTGGTCAAACTGGCAAAAAAGCATTTGTAATGTCTTGAACTTTTAAACATACCATTTCATTCACTTAATTATTAGACGGACAGACAGACGGAAATGGCTAGATCGTCTCGGCTATTGATGCTGATCAAGAATATATATACTTTATATATATATATACTTTATTAATTAATTAAGTATCTTAATATTCATCTACATCAAGCGCTCTGTTTTGATTCGCCTTGTGGTCAGCAGTTGTTCCTTAGCGGCTCGTGTCCCTTTTTCCATTACGTTGCGCATACGCCGCGTTGTATGGAAAAATTTTCTGCATTTGTATGAACTTGAGCTGGAACATTGCTGTACTTATGGCTAATTGACTGGTAGCCAAATTCAATCAACTGGGCTCACTGAAAGCCAATTCAAAGCTGCTGACTGCAGTCTTGTCGCAGGTGTTGATCCTGTCATTAATTAACTATCGCTGTCATCAGCAGCCGCAGCAGTTGTCGCGCACGTGTCCAAAATGCTCAATAGAATGTGGCCAGCAGGGTTGGCGGGTCGCATCCTTGGGCAACATATTGTTTCATTTTGGCTTTGTCTTCCTGCTGCTGCCCATAACAAAGGCGTGCACCTACAAACGCAATTTGGCAACAAATTCACAAAACAGACAACACAACAAACAACCAGAAGAAGAAGAACAACAACAACAATGACCAGAATTATACAATTTATGCGATTTACGAGCTCCGGCAGCTCCTCCAGTTACCGTCCAGCTCCAACTACAGCTCCAACTCCAACTCTAACTTCAACTGGCATCTACCACTCGCGCCTTCGCCCTTTTTGCCTCGGCAGCCGCAAAACTATTTCTATTGCTGCGGAGCCGTCGCCGTCGCCGTTGCCGCGGCCGTCGCTATCGCCACTGAGCAAGGATATGCCGTATTTCCGTTTACATAATAAATTTGCTAACCACGTTCTGTCGTCGTCGTCGTCGTCGTCGTTACGTCCCGGACCTGGCCCGGGCCCTGCGGCATCACCACCAGCGCCGCCAGCGCCGCCGTTGCCTGGCATCAAGTGCCTGCGGTTGGCATTTTTGTTTTTGTTTTGTTTTTTTACCCTATACCCATTAAAAATGGATAAGGAAGGGTTAAATGGTTTTGTATAAATGTATGTAACAGGCTGATGGATATCATAAGGTATAAATATTCTTGATCAGCTGTGCTGGTCTTTTCTTCAGTCTGTCTGTTCAATGGTCTGTATGGACGCGCCTTTCGCAGCGACTTTAAGATCCAGGGACTTCGAAATGGATACATAGTTTCTTCTATACATAAATTTATATATTTCTGATGCCGTCATTCGTTCTTTCCAAATCCAATTTGTTCAGTTAGAGCCGTGCACTTTGATATTTACGTTCCTTTTCGTGTGATATCTAGGTGCTGTAAGTTTCATATACATCAGACTTTAAGTACATGAGTTATTAAAGAACGCATTAACCATAGATTTTCAGGTAAGGGAAGAAATAAGAGCTGCGTAGCTTGCGACATGGTTTTATTCATGTGTGCATGCGTGATAGCAGGAAGCTCTAATCCTTTGAGTCGGTATAGGGTGCCTGCTGGTCGAGCACACCCTACAGAAGCACTCTTACTTGTTTAATTTTTTGTGTCGTGTTGTTGTTTTTGTATGTCGCCATCGCCAGCGCCGTCGTCCGGGGCACCTTGCAGTGCAAGTTGACAAAAGGCTGCACAAAAAAATTGGACAGCAGCCGCAGCCAAAGTCGCAGCAGGCGTTTGAATTGAGTTTTGCGTTTGCTTTGCGTTTGGCTTTTGGCCGGTTTATAAACTTTAACTTGGACAACATATTGTCGCTGGCAAGTGTCGCCTCCACCTGCTGCTGCAGCACCGTCGCCGTCACCCGCCTACCTCGCCTCCTGCTGCTCTCCAGATTTCCCTGCCAGTTGATTGACGGAAGTCAGCGGCGGCAACAACTTTTGCTTAATCATTGGGCGGCACTCGCGTTGTCTCTAATTAATCTATTAAATGCAAGAGACAGCGCCTACAAAAAATGCGTTGTCGAGGAAGTCATCTCGCCTGGCCCGGCCTGGCCAGCGAGTCCAACAAGCCGCTTCCGTTTTCCGCTGGAAGTGAAATCTGTCAGCGGACGTCATATAAATGCCAAAAGGCGAGCACCACAGGGCTGGTTAGTTCCAATTCAAATTCTTGCTGCGAGGGTTCGGCGATTAGAGTTTGCGGCAATATGGTTCAAACTGATGGGAAATTATAATACATTATTTTGAGACGGGGTGAAATAGACAAATAGACATGTGTTGATATGACGAAAGTATTTATTTTGTTTGGGCAGCCTTTGTTGTGAATCTATATAGGGATTTAAAATAGAGACTTTCTCTATTCTAAGTTAAGACGAAAATATTAATTTCTATCATAAAAACATATTCTCCATTTACTAGCCCAAATATCTTTAAAAGTGTATTTAAATTCGATCAGATGAGAGACAAATAAGTTTCCTAAAACCATTTTTCACCAATTTTCTACAATTCCGAGTGAATTTATCCGCTAACACCACATATTCCGAGTGAATTTATCCGCTAACACCACATATTAACTCCAGGCCAGTCAGTAAATCAGTCTGTCGGGAAGGGAAATATATTATTTGTTTATAAATAGAAACAGAACCTTTACAAAAACAAAGTTCAGCATTTATCTTTTCTATATCGGTAAGAAGTTATCGCAATTAAGTCAACCTGGCAGCTGATCCACCTCCTGCCTGTAATGGGGAGCCCTTGAATTTATGAAACAGCCTGCGCAACCTTGCTCTATATGTGGGCTCTGGCTGCGCCCACATGCAGGTGCCATAGGATCCTCGTCAGCTGTCGCCGTGGGGTAGGTTCAATAACCCGCGGCTGTTGACTTTGCAGCCCGCTGTCTGCCACCTCTGGCACCTCAGCCCGCCGCTCGCTGCTAATGGCTAGCCACACTTTACATTAGCGTCACAATTTATTGGCCGGCTGCTGAAGCCGGCTGCTCCTGCGCCGGCGC